ATTTATTTTATTCACTTTACATCCTTGTAGCCCCTTCCCTCCTCCTCTTCCCTCTTCCTCTTTCTTGACCTCCAAAAAGGGGCGTTCCTTTTCCCATCCACCTACCTCATCAAGTTGCATTAGGACTGAATACGTCCTCTTCCCCTGTGGCCCGTCAAGGCAGTGCCCCCAGGGGAAAGTAATCTAAAAGTTAGCAAGTGAGTCTGATGCAGTCCCCACCTCCCTTACCAGAGAACCCACTTGAAGCCTAAGCTGTCCATCTGCTATATCTTTGTAGGGGGCTTAGGTCCAGTTCATGCATGGTCATTGGTTGATGTTTCAGTCTCAGCAAGCCCCTCTGGGCCCTGGCTATAATTGGCTCTGTTGTTTTTCTTGTAGAGCTCCTTTCACTTACAGGTCATTTTCTCTTTCCTCCCACTATTTCCCAAGACTCCCTATACATTGCATTGACCAATGTTTGGCTGTGAGTCTCAGCATCTGTTTTGAGGCACTTCTGGGTAGAGACTCTCAGAAGACAACTCCAACAGGCTGTCTGCAAGCTGTCTGCACACTTAGCAGAGTATCGTTCATAGGGTCAGGGGCTGGCACTCTCCGATAGGGTGGGTCTTTGGTTGGGCCAGGCATCAGTTGGGCATTCCCTCAGTCTTTGTTCTATCTACTCTATCTTTATCCCCGCACATCTCATAGGTAGGGTAAATTTGGGTCATAGTTTATGTGGGTGGGTTGGTGTTTTCCACCCATTACTAGAAGACTACTCTTGTTAGAGGAAGTCCTCTTCAGTCTCCAAGGTCTGTGCTACTAGGAGTCTCAGCTTGAATCCCCCTCATATCCTCCCAGTAGCCTGCCCTGACTTCGGTTTCCAGCTTGTTATGTACTCTCTTGTAAGTAGATTTTAGCCATATAGTACAGGATAAGCGAAGCACAGACCCAAAGAAGTAATAAGGAGGACCCAAGTGAGGACGCAAAATCTCATTCAGAAGGGGATATAGAATAGACAGAGGTGATGGCTGAAGAAAGGGGACAAAGTAGGAGATGGGGCAGAGAGAGTTAAGTGGATGGAGATCAGACCTGAGGAGAGCAAGGGCAAGAGGACAGAAGGCCCATAGAGAAAAGAGAAACGAAGGTGGGGACATCTCAGTGAGCAAATTTTAATTTCAACATATCAGCATATAATGCTATTTTCCCCTTACTACAGGGAATGCTGTAACAAATCATGGAGGGTTGTGGGTGGATGCGTGGAAAAATGAGCTGCTGCTGGTAATCAAAGACCCACCCTAGTGATTAAAATCAGAAATAGCAGAAGTACAAATTGAAACATGAAGTGTAAACTTTACATGAACTGTCCAGTTCGAATTTTCCAATGAGAATGAATCTTACTGAGGAAGAAGTTAAGCTCTGGAATACTGATGGAATATCAGATATTCAGAGTGGAGTGGGAATAGAGAGAATGTGCATTATTTGACAAAAGAAGTTTAGAAAAACATCCTGCCACAGATCCAGAAATACATACTCCACCCCCCTTTTCTCCAAAGGAAGAGATTGAAAAAAACTTTAAAATTAAATGTATCACTTATAAACGTTGAACTAACAGCATTCCTGGGAGAGAAGTATTTGGTGTGCATCGTTAAATATTAATCATTTGATATCACTTTAGCAGAGGAACTGAGTCAAGTTGGAACAGCTTTTAAGAAGCCAGTTACAATGTGAGTTATGAAAGAGAAGTGGAAGAAGCCCAGGGAAAATACTAGAAAATGCAAGTTCTTTCATCCATTGAATTTTTGCAGAGAATTCTGGCTAACTGGGTTATTCAGACTGAAGACAGCAATAAAAACAGGCCCTTGTTTTAGGGATAAAAGAATTGTTAAAAAGCAGAAGCCTGGACTACAAACATTGCAAAGCGTCTTCCTTTTTAATAAATTCTTTCTCCTTGGTACTAAAGAGCTTCATTAAATAATAGATACACATTGAAAAGAAGGCATCTAGTTTTTGATCACCTTGTAAAATATATTCATATTGAGATTCCACAGATTCAGTAGCAATGTAGGAGTGAAAGGGCAACATAGGAAAAGAAAGTACTCCTTTCATGTTCTAGCATGTTGATTGTTCAAAGAAATTGTGAAGTAATTTTTTTCATAATTCAGAACTGACTAATTAATTTCGCTGGTTCTGTTTCAAGATGATATGGAAGGTCTTGGCAAAGTTTTAAAGATATTATATTTTATTTGTGTGCATGTGTGTGTGTCTGTGTGTATGTGTGTGTGTAAGTGCCCATGATAGCCAGAAGAAGCGGGTGCTGATCCCCTGAATCTGAAGTTACAGGGAGTTGTGACCCACAGGGAATTAAAGTTACATCTAGACTCTTAACAGCTGGGTCCTCTCTGTAGCGCTCTATGACAGTATTTTGAGGCTATGAAATGTTAGAAGTCTTTAAACCTCCATAATTCTTGCTTGTAAAGAGAGGAAATATGAGCCCTCAAGTCATGAGTAAGCCATGTGAAGGGAAGGAAGACCACTTCCAACTGAGCATCAGAGCACATGAAGCAACAGCTGCTAACAGAACTGTAAACAAGAGTGGGCCTGTTATTTTAGACATTAACATTTCTTTTCTTATAATTGATGCTATTGGCAAAAGAATCAATGAAGAGTAGCATCAGCAATTGACACTTTCAGACCAGTCCCAGCTACCAGCCTAAGTACATACTGAAATTCTCCAAAATCAACTATATTCTATGTGATAAAATTATTTTAAAAATTTGAAGATGATTGAAATTATAAAAATTATATACAATGGGATACAAGCAAAAATGAAACAGAAAGCTGTCTGGGAAATGCCCAAATACTTAGAAATTAAACATCATATTTTTAACCTGTGATGGCCCAAAGAGACAAGCCAAAGGAAGTTATAAATATTTAACTATGTTAAAGTAAAAACAGAGCTTATCGAAATTTGTGGGGAACAACAACTTTATGGGATGTGAAAAATGTTCCATCCAGTCATTTCACTTCCAGGAAATTAAAATATGAGCAGACCTTTTTGTAGCAACAGGTCTGTCACACAGCTTACTAGGAAGAAAATAACGAGATAAATTGTGTGGATACTAGGAGAATGTAAATAAAACTATGATCTATATATCGGTGTATAAATGATGATGGCTATAATGATAATGGAGAAAATACTGTCTCATACAATGATATTAGAAAAAGCAGGTGGTTGGTATAGATGTGTAATAGAGCCTGTGCTTGTAATATGCAATGACTTGAGGAACAAGAGGGACACAAGGATCTATTTGTGTGTGTGTGTGTGTGTGTGTGTGCTTTTTATTTTGAACTCTTTGTGTATTTGCATTTATGTACAGTATATATGATCCAAAACAACAACAAATCTGGTGAAGGTGGTCCAAAGAATGGCACTGAATTTAACAGATAGTCATGTTATGTGAGGCCTTACTGAATGAAGGATATTTTGAGATATCTCCTTAGATCACCTCACCCCACAGTTGTTTGATGTGAAATCTTTGCCAAAGTTCTTGATTCCTCTTCCCAGACACCAGTTATCCCTAGCCAGTCTTTTTCCCTTGTATGTTTAGATGAGAGTCCCACCTCGTTGTCATCTTTCTCTTTACAAAATGTTTGTTGTCTTCCAGTGATATTTAAGAAATTTAATCTTGACCCAGCAAGATTGCTCAATGGGTTGAGGCCTTTACATTCTGGCCCAATGAAATAAGTCTAATCCTGTTTGCCTTTCTGAGTGAGGTCCTCCTTCTTGCTTAGCTTCTTTAGGTGTACAGATCTTAGTATGTTATCTTATATTATAGGTCTAGTATCCACTTATAAGTGAGTATATACCATGTGACTTTCTGCTTCTGGGATACCTCACTCAGGATGATCTTTTCTAGATGCCACCATTTGCCTGCAAATTTTATGATTTCCTTTATGATTTCTTAATTGCTGAGTAGTATTCCATTGTGTAAAAATACCACAATTTCTGTATCCATTCCTCCAAAGAGGGACATCTGGGTTGTTTCCAGGTTCTGGCTATTATGAATAAAGCTGCTACGAACATGGTTGAACAAATGTCCTTGTTGTGTACTTGAGCATATTTTCAATATATGCCCAGGAGTGGTATAGCTGGATCTTGAGGAAGCACTATTCCTAATTGTCTGAGAAAGCGCCAGATTGATTTCCAAAGTGGTTGTACCAGTTTGCATTCCCACTAGCAATGGAAGAGGGTTCCTCTTTCTCCACATCCTCTCCAGCATGTGTTATCACTTGAGTTTTTGATCTTAGCCATTCTGTGTGAGGTGAAATCTCAGGGTGGTTTGATTTGCATTTCCCTGATGTTAATGCTGAGCATTTCCTTGAGCCCTCTTATGTATATTTTTAGTTAAGTTGGTTGTGTAAGATTTTATTAATATAATCATATGGAAAGCCATCTGGCAAAGTACATTTTAAACATCAAATTGTTTTTATTGACTCACTATTTTCACCTAAAAATTTGTCATAAGGGATAGACCTAAGTATGGAAAAGGTTGCATATTTAAAGGTATTTCTTACAGTGTTATTTATGGAAGCAAAACCATGGACACCATCTAAATGCCAAGGAAAATAATGCCTGAAAAGAGCATAGTGTGCCCGCTGGCTGTTGTAGGAGTAACACTGAAGTTGAAGATTAGGATAATACGATGACTTAAAATTGTTTACAACTAAACACAAAGAACACAACGTTTGGTGAATGTGTTTCTAAAGCCTATTCTTGTGGTTCGGGGGAGGGAAAGTCTGGAAAGAAACGTGATGCTGCAGAGCAGTGAGTGATTTTTTTTTTCTTTTTCATATAAATGCCTTACCACGCGTGTTTTATTTTCTGCCTTGATCAACACTGACCTGTGCGTGTGTAATGTAGCTGGCATAGGAAGGTCCAGTCTCTCAGTCAGTACATTCACGTGACACTTGTTCCATGGGCCTTGTGGCCATGGGACTAAAGTGTGGCCTTTCTTTCTCAGGACGACAGGCCCATTTTCGAAAGTTCCCACGCTCTTGCCCTAGATCACGCATCGGCTTGGCAGAACCGCAGTTACTTCCTGTCTGGTCCACGGTTTTCACACTTTAACCGTAAGTAATGAAGTCTCCCACCAGTTATTAAATTGAATCTTTTAAAAATGTAACTCACGGGGAAATTAAAGTTTAAGGCCAGTATATGATAATAATATTCATGCAAAAGTTTGAGAAATTTTTCATTATGAATCATAAAAAAGTCCCCCCAGAACACTTCTGATATTAACCAATTCACTGAAAAAACATGGAATTCCTTTTAGACCTCAAACTTTTTAAAGAAAACTTAAAGTAAATCATCCATAGTAAAATTGTTAATTAAAACCATTTTTGGTTTAAAGATTGTTAACTGTTGCTGCTCAGATAAAGAAAATTATTTTGTAAGAAAATAAAATCATCAAGAAGGGAAGATTTTTTTAATATAACTATTCTGATGTATTTATTTGTATAAATAATAATAACACATACATGAGTGCACACCAAATGTCACTGATTGTACCCTGTGACAACAGGAAAATGTCATGGTTCAGCAGCCCAGGAGCCAGGTACTGCCATGTGTCCCAGAGTTGAGCATCTGTACTTCATCCTTAGAGAAGGCATTAGCTGTGGTTTTATAGGAGTTTCTACTTTAAATACCCCTAACTCAGTACAATATATTTTTATAAATCTTAGGATAATAAATATATAGGTTTTTTTAAAATAATTTGAGTGACTTTTCATTTATGATTTATTATGCCTCCACCACAGATTGAACTCAATGAAAACATGAGTGATGTCTGCTTTGTTCACCATTGTTTCCTTAGCTCACCACATATTAAAAGTCCAATTAATATTCAATTAAATTAGGTAAATGAATATACAAGTCCTTTTTTGAAGCCTACTTTTATCTAGCTATTGGGATTAAAATATTATTTAATAGATTCTAATTTGCATAACAATTTAGTTCTTCAATTTATTATACCTGGAGGGTTATACATTAAATTTGATAATTCTGTCATTTAAAATAGTTAGTCCGCTATAAAATAATATACCAAAATAAGTGTTAAAAGAAGTAGGTCAAATCCAAAGGTGATGTCTCTCATTTTTGCTTATTTATATTCATGGATTCATTTAATAAATATTTATCAGTTTCTGACAAATGGTTTAGTTTTCATTATATCATGATTATTTTATTCCAAAAGCTAAGCATTTTCTCTTTCCCATCTTAATAATTTTACCAAGCGATTTTTGTATCTGTGTAAACCCTCTGCTATTCTGACATTGTAGCCACTCTTCAATGTGGATTATGTCTCGAGTTGGATATGGCATCACCGAATTTGGTTAATATACAGGGCAGAAATTGTGTCTTTCATTTTAAGCAGTGTAAAAATTTCCTTGGGTTAATATTAACCAGGAAGAAAGGAACTGAGTACCTCAGAACATTAGAAGTCCCACCTACTAATACACTGAAAAGCCTGGAGATAAGAGGATCATGAGTGGAGTATAGCAGCCATTTTCCTACTGCCTATTAATTTTGCTTAAATGGCTCCTAAACGGAAGTGGTTAGAAGACATGAAATAGGAAATATCAAGGTTATGAGAATTATATTTAATATTATAACAGACATTCAAAGAGATTTAGCTTTTGATTGTACTATCTTGTGACCAGCCTTGATCATTTTTCTAAGATACATTCCTCATAGGTAGACATGGGTTTCTACTCAAATGTGGTGATTCAAAAGTAAATAAAATTAAAGTATAGGAAAAGTTATTCTTACAGTATAGTCTGAATGAAGAAATACTTGTTACTGCCTATATTTTAGGAGTAAAAAATTATTTTCCTCCATTGATTAATTAATATTTGTGATTTTCCTGCCACGATTATTCCCATTTTCCCAATACTTTTCAAAACTTAGTTAACACTAGCTGAATACTTCTGTTTTTGTAGCAGACTAATTCCATTTAGAGAAATTATATTCTAACTTCTTTTAGCGTACTCAAAAATTCAAAGGCACCAAGCTCAGCAGAGAGTACATCAGAACCTGTGTCAAATAAGATAATTAGAGAAGGTGTCCTCAGACTGGAAAAGACACTGAAGCTAGAGTCTATGAAGAGGGAAGACAGCGTAAAAGGTCTCAGGATTATAAAATATTCTTAACATGAAGGTCAAAGAAACTAGAGACGTGGAAAATAAAACCGAGAAAGCACACAGTAAAATAAGTATGGCCAAGGGAAAGAATGGGACAATAGAATAGAAAAGTTGAGATTATTTTAAAAAACCAAGATCTGGCAAGATGATAAAGGCACTTGCCAAACCTGATGACCCACATAATGGACAGAAAGAACAGATGTTTGCAAGTTGTCCACTGACCTCCACATGCATACCATGATATGTACATACATTTTCCCTCTCTTTCTCATACACTACACATACACACACACAAACACACAAATAAATGTAATTTACAAACTTAAAATTCCGGGAGGGGCTGGAGAGATGGCTCAGTGGTTAAGAGTACCGACTGTTCTTACAGCTGATCTGCATTTCTGCTCCCAGCATCCACACTGTAACTCACAAGTGTCTGTAACTCCAGTTCCAGGGGATCCAGTTATATTCTGGTCTCTGCAGGCACCAGGCATATACATGGTGCACAGACATACAGGCAAAATACTCATGCATATAAATAGTACACATAAAATAGTAAGAATAAGTTAAAAACAAACTTTTAAACTCAATTCAAAATGGACAAGACATGGTTTGTAAATTTGGGGAGCAAAGAAAACTTGCAGGCCAGGGGTAAAGGAGCTTGTCTGAGAAACCCATGTTGCATGTGTGTACCCAGACACTTTTCTTTATGCCCTCCTGTGCCCTGTTTCCTAGGCCCGCTTCTCTGCCTCTTGTTTTTATGGAAGTGCATTGAGGAGAAAAAAAGTAAATATCTGTGGTCTTTGTATCACTGAAAATAGAATCTTCCACTGATGCTTTATCAAGGCTTTGGCTGACTATAAAATTGTAAGTTTGGTCAGCTACAAAATTCTAGATTGAGAAGGATTTTCTTTATGAGGGCATTGGAAAAATATTTCCCCAAATCCAAGATCAGTGTTGAAAAGTATGGTTATTTTATTCTCATCTTTTGAAGTCACCTTCTGTCTTCTCCACCCTTTTCCTTTCTATGTCCTCTTTCCCTTTCCACTGCTGGCCTGGAAAACTTTGAAGAACTCTGCCCTTGAATCCCAGTGAGTTTGTGGCTTTGTGTTACTCATTCTTTTATATTCAGGATTGGTGATCCCTTTAATGGATACTCATTCTTTTTTTTTTTCTGCCCTTTTATTAAAAAATAGTTTTTCTCATGTAGTATATACTAATTCTGGTTTCCCCTCCCTCTACTCCTGCCAGCTTCTTCCCACCTCTCCTCTCTTCTGGACCTACCCCATTTCTGTTTCTCATTAGAAACAAACAAACAAACAAAACAGCCCTCTTTGGGATAATAATAAAGTATTATATAATAAAATAGAATAGAATTAATATAATACAATATATAATATAATATCATATAACATAAACTAACACATTGGCATTGATCAAAGCAACAGAGAGAAAAGAGCCCAAAAGAAGGCACAAAAACAGAGACTCACTCATTCACACACTGAGGAAACCCATAAAAACGTGAACTGGAAGCTAAGTATATAATCTAAGTGTAGAGGACCTGATGCAGATCTGGGAAGGCACCATGCGTTCTCTCTCAGTCTCTGTGAATTCATATGACCTTTTGTCATTTTGATTTAGAAAGCCTTATTCTCCTGTTGTCTTCCATCCCCTCTGTCTCTTACACGCTTTCTGCCTCCTCCTATGCAGGGTGCCCTGAGCCCTGAAATGAGGGATTTGATAGAGATATCCCATTTGGAACTGAGTATGCCAAGCGAGGTTTCTTACTCTCTGCATTATGTCTGGCTGTGGGTCTTTGAATTTGTTCTCATCTGCTTCCTGGCCTGAGTTGACACACACTTAAGAAATCTCATATTAAAGAGATACTCTATTGAGAAAATCCTTAGGAAACAAAGAAATAATGTTATCTGATGTGGCTGATTACCTAGGGAGAAAAAAATTAAAAAAAGAAACTCAGAAAATTTAATTGACCTATTAGAAGCATAGTCATAGAAAGGAAAAACATATAAAAAGTAAGATATGAGTCAACTTGGGGAGGAAAATAAAACAAGAAACATTGTCGCAGTCTACCTATTAGTTGTCTGTGAGCTATGTTTATTTACATAGTCATGAAGTTATAAACACTCAGTATTGACATAACTGAAACTTCAGAAATAGATTTTTTGGAAAGATGGGTGTGAAGGAGTGGGTGGGTGTGGATAATGTCTAAAAATGATAAATCAGAAAATAGCATTTGTAGACATTTTTTGCATAAGTAGAGGAAAGACAGAAAAAGTTTAAAAGTTGCTTGTGGCTGTCTCTAGAGCATTACAAGGAGCAGAGTTGGAGACTCCGGGTGTTCTCTATAATAGCTTGAAGCTATCTGATGTATAGATGCACACTTTGGTTAGAAATGATTCTTATAAAGACAAATGCTGCCACAAAAACCTCAGTTGTTATATCTGACCAGCAAATGTCCAATTTTCTTATTAACTTCTCAATTGAGTGTAAAGTCTGGCTTTGGAGCTCTGAACCATTTCAACCTGAGTGGAAACTTGGCGAGGAGATGACTGTGGCCCTGTAGACGTGGAAGGACATTACTCTCTGGACCCACAGAGCAGACACCTTCTTGCTTGTGATGGAATGTGAACTGCATGAGGCCCCTTTTGTCCTGTGCCATAGAGGCCACGGCATTCATTCTGCTGATGTAGGGGCCCAGTGAGACTGTGACCAAATCAAGCATAGAACCACTGACCATGGAAAAAACAAAGGAAATGGGAAAACACTGCATAATTTGTGGTCTCCAAAATGCTCCAGCATTAATGAAAGTTTGTTTTAAGAAGTAATTTATGTCAGCTTTGTGTAGTTCAGGTCAATTCATGAAAAGGTAGATTCCCTCTGCCAGGAAGAAGGGAAGAAATGTATAAATTGTAAATTTATATTACCATTGGAAATAAGAACACAGAAATCCATTATTAAAAGCACGATCACTAGCAAATTTATCCTGGCTGGCTGGACGCTGTGGCCCTGAGTCAGGATCCTCTTTTAGAAGACTGGTTCCATTACCTTCAGCCTGGAGACAGTGGGGGCTTAGTCAAGACGGTCACAGTGTCGGCTTTGGAGCCGTGTTTTCACTTTTTGTAAGCGGCGACTGGCCACTGCCCTGCATGTGGAGCTCCTTTGAGATGAAAGGCCCACGACCCCAGGCCGGTCCCTCTCAGGGCTGGGACTAGACTTGAATGAGGTCTGTAGCAGTCTGGTAACTTCTAGAACTCTCCAAGCTTCGGAGACTAACATGCTTAATTCCTGTGGAATTAGTGTTTCCAAACCAAATTTTAAAATAAACATAGATTTCAAATTGTCTGTAAATTTTAAACTGCCCTAAAAAGTAATTTTTTTAAAAAAAAGTAAATGAGTGAACCTAAGAAAACGACTGTGGCTTTTTTTTTTTTTTTTTTTTTTTTTTGCAATAGTTTAAAACATTATCTTGAATTATAGAATTTAGAAATACATGTTATATTCTAAATTTCAGAAAAGTAGTTTGGAAAGTTGCCTTGAAAATCAATTTTATTTCTTACCTCAGTTTATATTGCTAGAAAAAGAAAACTTAGCGTTCTTGGTTTCCATTTTGAAGGACTCTGTATGGGAGTTTACATCTTTTGGATGAAAATCATTTGTCCTCAGAAAACCAGAAAAATTTGTACTATATTACTGGTTCAAGGCCTTCCTGAATAACTGTTACAAGCTCCTTTTTAAGTAATCTGTCCTACACATACAGGATCAAATGCCAACAATATGTGGCAATAGAAATGTTGGGGATATTGATAAGACGAGAACAAAGGTTTCTTGTCCATTAAAGGGTTATTTATTTTGTGGACGCATACTATATCTGCCACTTTTGCTTATTTTATTAAACTAGGCTTTGGTTTTGTCTCTTGACCAATTAAGTGCTAAATATTTTTAAATAATTGAGCTCCAATTATTGTAATTTAACAAAAGACTTTCTAGTTACTCTCTAGAAAGCACCTAGAAAGTTTGCAGAACCTCTTAATGTAGTCACTTGTGTCTACTTGAGTGTTGTATATACCAGGGTCTGAAGTCGGTTTTGGAGGAGGCAGTAATGAAGGTGACAGACACGGTCATCTCATCTTATGAAGAAAAAAGGAATTGAAAAAATAAAGGATTTAGAGTGGTGATTGATGCTGGGCAAGAATTCTACTTGAACTGAGTGATCATGAGATGCATCTCCGGAAAGCGTCAGTTGACCCAAACGCAAGTGATAACAAAAGCCAGCCGAGTTGGAGTTGGGTGGGAAAAGAGATCCTTGCATCAGGAGCAGAATGTTCAGAAGCTCTGAGAAAAGGGCACATGGTCTGAGAGAATGAACAGATCCAGGGAGGGAGGGAGGGAGAGGAACAGCCACTGGCAGGACCCTGGATCCCATTCTAAGTTCACCAGAAGATGAATAAAGGTGGAGAGCTGTCCAGGAGCAGGGTGTACCCTGGTCTACTTTTAAGGAAGGTCACTCTGTTTAGCATAATAAAGAAGCATGATAAAAGTAGACTGAGAGGAAATGGCAGCCTGGACCGAGGAAATCGTAAGAGTGTGAAGAAGACACAGGTGAGTTCAGGAGACAGAATCACGAAGACTCATCTTAAATGAGGTAGATAGGTCAGGCAGAGAAAAGCAGATGCTGCAAACGTGGGGGAGATTGTATCTGTTCTAATACAGAGTTATTATAATAATCACATTATGGTACGTTATTATTATTTTGGTTTCTGAGAGTGGTGGATGAGCAGGGATCAGAGAGCTGAAACCTCAAGGGACAAGTTCACATCAACACTGAGATTCTGGTCTCTGGCTTTGAAGGGAGATAAGAAAAATAGTAAACCTAGATTCTAGATCTAGTGCTAAGTAGTCCAGAGGATGCAACAGAGAGGATTCCCTGATAGGAGGCCTTCAAATTATTTTCTGTAAAGTCTTTGTGCTTATATTATTGTATTTTGACAAAGCACACACCTTCCACTCTCAGATACAAACTTTAAAAAAATCAATTGCATTTTTGAAAATATACTGATTTTTTTATGTATGCTACAGGTTTGTTAGTCCATGTAAAGTTTAATTATAGAAAACTAGATTAATGCCTAATTGACTAACTTCTACAAGATTAGACTTTTGGCTCAAGTTTTATATTCACGTTGGTTTATTTTTCTCTTTCCCCTAGCCTTGCCAGCATTTACCAAAAAAACCATTTCCCCAGATCCAGCTTCAATCAAGGAAGATGCCACAAGTTTACCATTGAATGGAACAAACCCACAGTCCAAGAAGGAGGAATCTGAGAACAAAAAATGCAAAATGTAATTTGCAACTTTACTTGAGTATTTAACAAATAATAGCCTATGGTCCTATTGCTCTCCGGCTCAGATTATCTAAAGACACCATGTGGTTTTGGCTCCCTGGAACTGCGAAGCATTGGCTAACATGGTATTACAGTCAGTCTTTGTGAGTGAGAGTAAATTTAACCAGTGGAGGTAATATCAACTTATGAAGATACACAGCTCATTTAAAGGCAGCTCATACCGACAGAGAAAGTGATCAGTTTTGCTTTATATTTTCCCATTTTTCAGTGTCACAATTTTTCAACCCCACCTCGAATTTATAATCGGTGCCTTTCAAAAATGACTGGCGAAAAGGAGGAAGAGGAGTTCCCTCCAGGCAAAGGCTTCCAGCAGTTTAGATTCAGGAGCATTTGCACACGATTAATTCTTAAGTGTTTTCTCCCTAATCAATTCTCATGTGTTGTAACATGTTGTGTAGATGCCTATGTAAAATTAGACTACCTTTTAAATGCTTGTCATCATTCATCTGTCATCACAACAGTCTGTCACTACATATATATCTTAAAACTATTCCAATCATCATTTTTAATTGCAAAAGAACTTACAAATGATAGCTGAATCATAGAACACTGTAAAGACTTCATAACATCATTTATTTATTTGTCTTGTTGTAGTCAAATGCCCCCCTGTGATCACCCCAGTCACACCCTGGATGATCTTTGGTTTGCTCTGGTTCTGATCCCAGCAGCCCTCTCCTGGGTCAGTGGGATTCACTCTGCAAGAATCCTTATATACTTTGGTGCTACCTGACTGCTTTTCACATCCCAGCCTTTTCAACATCAAAGTGTTTTTAATACCTTACTGCTTTTCTGTGCCCATCTACCAGTGAAGAAAATTTTATATTAAATTCCTAAGTAAGGGTCATCATCCAGGAACTGAGTCCTCTTGGGCTGTGGTGGAAGGACTCTGCACAGAGGCAGGAACAATAAAGTGATTCCTTTGTAATGTACATTGCATGTTGTGTCTGTTAAAATACGCTTGTTTGTTACATTTCTCACATTTTATAAAAGCACTGTGTTTTCAATCAAAATGTATTTTACTAACTTACCATAACACTTGAAGGTGTAGAAAAAAATGAACCCCACCCCCGCCTCCGCTCTGTGAATGTAAGTGCAGTTCTTACAACCTGACATGGAGGTGTTTCACATCAATTTCCACATGCTGCATAAGCTCTGAGGCCACTTACTCAGTGTGGCAGCCTCTTCTTGAAGACCTCCCAAGTGTCAGTGATAAGAAGGAAAAAGAAAATATAAAAGGTGTGCCTGTGCAAAAGCACACTTGGTTTTATAATACATGGGAAAGGCGATAATGTGTTTGGCCAGCTAGAAACAAATCTGTATTTAACAGATTTGGCTTGTCCTCTCTCAGCCCAGAAGTTCTCAGTGTTCTAAGGTGAGAGCAAGAGAAACTCGTTTGGAGAAGTAGGTCAGACTCCTGCTGTCCACTGTGACCTGTAGCATCTAGGATAAGAGTTCAGAGCTCTGAGAATTTAGTACTTTTACTGATTTTTGACTAACACTATTTTTAACAATACGTACTTTTTAGTGTTTGGAAAGTCTGTATATTCCTACCATACGCATTGATTATATCCATCCACCACTACCTCCCTCACAATTGTCCTGGTGGTCCCTGCTACAGCCACTTCCCAGTCTCACAGCCTGCACGTGCATGTGGGTGTGTGTCAACTGCCCCGGCGAGCAGCCTCCCAGTGGCCACATCTCAAAGGAGAGTAATCCTCCCTCCCTCAGCTCTCAGTTGCCAGTTGTTCCTCGGATAGGAAAGGAGCCTCCAGGTGCCTCCCCAACCCATACTGTGCTTTTCAGTGACTTGATCTTGTACAGATCTTTTTCAAGTCAACGTTGCTGCTGTGAGTTGGTGTATACAACAGTGATATGTCAAGAAGTCAACATTTCACTTCACTCTTTCCCGTCCCCCAGCTCTTATATTCTTCCTCTTCCTTCCTCCTCCCTGAGCCTTGGATGAGGGGGTTGCTGACACAGCTGAGTACTCAAGAGTTATTTATGCTATGTACTTTGACCAGTTATGAGTCTCTTTTTTAACCACCACCCACTGCAAAGAAGAAAAAGGGAGTGAGGTGTTCTCTGACCCACGTTAAGAGCAGCATAAGTCTATGGGTTTGAACATAAACATTTAGAGTGTAGTTTGACAGCATGACCACCTAGCAATGTAACAACAGTAGCTTCCCCCTAACACCTATGTCCTTCCCAGCCTGTAATTTTTTTTATCAGGTTTACAGTACCAGGCATGCTAGAGCCCCTATGGAGCAGGCCTCAGAAAGTGGTTGTCTACTCCCATAACCATTATGCCACTATTGCACCAATGAGTAGCATGCTGTATCCAGGGATAAAATCACTGGTATTGTTTTGTTGTTGTTATTGTTTTTTGTTTTTTTCCTCCAGCAGCCTTCTGGCACTATATAAATTAGTCATCATTAGAGTTCTTGTCAGTTTGAAGTTGATTATTCTATGTCCTGCATTCATAGTGAGCCCTATCTTCAACAATAGGATCTTGCCCTATCTATGGTGGGCAACAAAGAGCAATGGCAATAATAGGGATTAACACTATACTTTATCTATTTAGAACTAAATAACAGTTAAGAAAATAAGAGATAAAATTGACAGTCTGTTTAAATCCTAAAGGCAAAGGTTGAAAGGTATTTCTCTTCATGAACAAGCAGAGACTGTGTGCTCTCCATATGTAAAGGAATGATTTGAGCTTAGGGAGCCATTGTTAGTATTTCTATGGTAACACACAAAAATTACAATAGACCAGTTAGACCTGAAAGATGGAGGGGACTCATTGACTCAGAAAATCCTTTAAAGTATACTAGCTTATGTTTTTATAACTCAACAGAACTCTTGTGGAAGAACTTTTAAAATATGAAAAAAAAAAATAAGGCAAGTATATTATTCAGTGCCCTATGCTTCTGTTGGATGAATGAGGTGTCTGAATTTAAATATTGATCCCACCAGAACCTCACTGGCAAGTCAACTTTTTGTGAGCAACAATTTGTCAAAATTTCTTAGCTGTCTATTTCTACGGACTTAATCCGAGGCCCTGTCTTCTCTCAAGATTTTTCCTATCTCTTGCAGTTATCTTGAGCATCCATTGAAAATCAAGAGAAATGCTAAGGAAGCACTAATAGTCTGAGTTTATATCCCAGAGCCAGGGCCTCTTTTGCCTCCCTTTTTTTGGCAGGGTAGCCTGGATTGTATGTGGTCACTTGAGTTCAGATGGGTCAGTCAAGTTGCTGGTAGCACTGGGACTGTGGAAGGTTTCATCCTTCTGCAGTGCACCTGGTCCGAGACTTAATTTGAAGATTGACCTTTTTGATTTAATAATTTTGATTCTTCTGGCCATCTTTCTCCCTAAGCATGCTAAACTTCTGTTGAAGTTGCTGAAGGCCACAGAGGGAAGAAACACAGCTGGAAGGATTCTGGCTTGTTGTTTTTCCCATTGGCTAAGGTCATATTATTCCCCCGACCAGTGTCTGACTGAGAGGTTGGAAACTAATTGGTTATATAACATTTTGTGCACCCAGTTTTCCAGGACTAACTTTATTCTTAGTATTGCTTATTCATTTTACCAGCAGAGAGATAAAGCTGATAGCACAGTATAGCAGAGTGTGATATCATTTAAAAGTTACTCAGGCAAAAAGTACACATCTACTTGAGAACTCTTTTTTCTCGTGCCTATGGTAGATGCATGTTTATAGTTTAAATCCCAGCTCAGTGGTGAGCAGTTCATATTTAGAGTCACAGAGACCGTTACCTTTCACGTCTATCTAATATGTATTGAATCTTATAGATAACATAGTATTTTAATTGGGACCAACTTCTTACATAAAATGAGACTGTTTACTTGGCAAACTTTTTCCTACTTTTCCTTAGGACTTGGGAATATTATAAACATAACTATATATCATATGTTATCCAGGATCATGAATGAACACTGAGTAAGATTCCTTTTTGAAATTCTTATGCCCCCCCCCAAGCAAATATCCCAATATTTTCTTCCCATTTTAGACAAAACAAAACAAAGTTGTGATTCTTACGGCCTTCAAATGAGGAAGCAGTTCTCACGAAAGCATCTGGCTTTCTTGGATCAAAACTAAAGAACGAGCCTCAAACTGGAAAGCAAATCGAAGAGTTTGTATATAAAGGCATTCCACACTCCAAAGTATAATATAAAAATAGTTACATCTTTCAACTCTTAAGTCTTCAAATGTTTAGCAATAGAAAAATATCAACTTATTCCTGTTTGAGAAAAGAGACCTAAACCACGAAACATTTCACTTAGTCTCATTTCCATATAAACACAACACATCTAGTTTAAGGGTAGGAAAAATGCATATGTGAGAAGCAGGACTTTGGATTCCAAGCCCCCAGCTGCATTGCAAAGAGGCCACTCTTGCTTTTGATTAAAAGCAAAGTAAAATGGCCCCGCACTGCCTGGAAAAAAGCACCTCCCCCTTCCAACATGGCCTGTCCCACCTGATTCCTGTTATATCTCTGGCTGTGTCTAATCCAGGCCCAACCTAGGTGTTACTAGTCTACCAAGCCAATTGGCCGCTGATATCTCTCAGCTATATGGAGGAAATGATGGGGGATGGGTGGTTGGGGAGGGAGGTGGCACTTCAGTTTCTTGTACAATCAGTGTATATATCAGTGTATATTTCTTATGCATATAAATGAAGATAGAGGTCCATGTCCCTTTCTCAATTGCTTCTCCTCCTCATTTTTGGAGACAGGGTTTCTTATTTAACCTACAGCTCACTGATGCTTCTAGATTGGCTGACAGCAAAGCCCAGGGATCTGCCTGTCTACTGCCCCGGCCCTGGCTTTACTGGTTGCTGGGGATCAAAGTAAAGGCCTCATGTGCACAGGACAAGCACAATATCTTCTGAGCACTAGGCCCCTAAAGACGTGTGTGTGTGTGTGTGTGTGTGTGTTTCTTTTTAAGCCACACATTTTTGAATGCTCTTGTGGTTGAAACCTTAGGAATACTGCAGCTGGCAATCTTTTTTTCCCCATTAGAGCTCACCATAGACTTACATGTGAAGCCCTGTGGTGTGTGTGAATACAAGGTTGCCTACCTTTGATTTTGTTCAATTGTTGTATCCTACAATGGATGTTATAGTTCCCTCCCCTTATTTATACATAGCCATTTGCGCATTGTGTTCATTTGTACATGAAGTACCAGAGAACATATTTATAGTGCTTTCTTTGGCATCTAGCCAAAAGAACAGGTACAAAATATGGGAAGAGTTGCAGATGGAATTTAAAATTTTAATTTTGGAATAGATGTCCTCTGTAGGTTTATCCCTTTCTCTGACCATCCAGCATAATTCCTTTTCAGTGTTATCTCTAGGGTGGTGCTAATACTTGTTTGTCCATTTTTGCTGAGCAGTTAGCTAGATTGGGCAGTGAAGAATGTTGGGAATGGTGTAAATGAGATAAACAGGAAGCTGTGTTGCCTTTTAAACTGCTTGTTTGTTAGGAGGTAAACTGTCTCTGAGAAAGGGTCTTGGGGGTATGGAACATTGTGAGAAGGAGCCCTGTTATATTGGATGCATACTGTGAAATCTATATCTGGCCAGCGCTGCCCTAATCTGCTACATTATTTCTATACCTCTTGCTGGCAGCTTTGGTCTAGATGCAAAGTGAACTTCTTTCTACCAATTTTTCATCTGGATGTCTCATGCCTGTCTGTCACTTTGGATTTTTGTTTTATTTATGCTACCATTAATCTCACTATGAGTGAAAGTAGAGGCTTGATTTATGACTTAGTATTAAAAAAATATTCCAATTACAATGAACCTCAACTGTCAGTCACCAGAAGTAAGGCAGCCATA